CTTTATAGAAGAAGTTCTCAGAACCCGGAGCAGAGTGTACCGACAGCTCCGGTACTCCTCCAGAATTCCTCCTAGGAAGCTACACTCGTCGAGGTAGAAGTCGGAGAGAGCGCCAAACCTTTCGGGCACTCCTCCAGAGCTTCCCCTCACTCTCTACCTTATTCTAATGTACAAAAGATACAATAGAGCCTCTTGTAATTCAGCTCAAAGTTGTGTGTGTTGGAATGAAAGTGAAGACCTCCTTATCTAGGCTCCAAATGACGGTTAAGGGTATGGGAAATGAACAAAACACCCTGCAACCGCCATAGGGGAGGAATCTAAGCCGTCCACGTGAAGCCAGATGGCGGGAGGCGCCAGGATTGGTTTGGCCGAACTAGTGGTTCGGCCGAACCAAAAATCCGTCCTCCTGGCCTCTCCTTTGGTCGGTAGGTAGCTTTTTGGGCCCCCAACATCTTGCACAATGTTTTAGCCCAATTCTAAGTGGTTTTGGTTGACATATGGGCCCTCCAATCTGTGTAAACGTGTCCTGAATGCGCGGAGGTGCATTTTGTCGCATGACGGATGTGTTTTCTCCTCAAAATACCTGCATACACATATTTCACCAACACTAGTGGAAATGATTAGTAATAAACCCTACCACTAAGTTGGATACCATATTTTATTTCATTATATGCAAGTATTGACGGTCAAATATTATGATTTAAGGACCGTCAACACACGGCAAGCATGGGCGAGGTCGTCTTACTGCCATCCAAGAATGTGGCGGGAAAGCAACGCGTCGAGCATGATGGCGCTGGCGCTGGCACCTTCATCCGAGAACATGCCATCGAAAGGCAGCCTGGTGTTGACGGAAAACACGAGACCTGGGAGATCTGCTTAACTCCAGTGCAGGTCCAAAACTCGCCTTCGGGTATGCTAGCGTGCCAGTTGATTTGATCCTGCAATCAACAAGAAATAACGACAAAGAAACCGCGGTTAAACCTATAAACGATAGCTGATCGGCTAAGTGCCGATGACATATCATTTATCTTTGAGCCGATGTCATATATAAATCGATCGGCGGTTATAAATAGGTAATAAAGAACTAAATCTACTCGATCGGCTGTAGATATTAACAATATATAATCCTGATGTCGATATATACTTAAATCAAGTGATTGGGATAGATCTGTTGCCATGCCGAGACAGTATAAATCACTTAGATCGAAATATATATTAACAACTAGACTATATATGTTCATAGCATAGCCGATCAGATAGATCTAGCATGTATCGGCTAATACTCCGATACAACTCTATGTTAAGATATTAAAACAAGCAGAATATACCAAACAGAAGCTTAATATACTTAGATGCAATAAAATCTTGACATAAAGGGCAGATTTAACGTATCCATGAAGCATATAGAGCAAATATAGTTAAATCAGATAAGATCGGCTGAAACCCTGATGCTACCCTAATCGGCAACCAGAAGGCAGGCTAGAGATTGATATTCTAAGCACGACTTAATAGATCAAACTCAACTGATGCAGCATTAAGTATGAAAAGAGGAACAATATCTAGACAATTAAGCCGCTGGAAGTTTCATAGAGTGGTGAATATCTTATATAATCTAAATCAACGTCGATGTTTAACCTAATCAGCTACCCTCTACCGCCAAATGTTAGCCGATTGTAGGTTAAATAGCGATATTGCTGGAGATTATGTAAGATATATGATAACTTGACGAATTACATAAACGAGATTAGAGTATCATAAAGATGGAAGCACTAATCCCGAGAACGCAAGCCGTCATAACAAGTTTTACCTCTTGTTGAAGATCGAAACCGATGCAGCTCAACCCGAAAGCAAGAACTCGTCGAAATAAAACTAAAGCAAAAGGGTGGCGATGCACCGAAATTGTATTGAATGTGTGTGTTAATTGATTACACGGGGTTTGGGGTCTATTTATACCCGAAAATTAGAAACTATGTCCATATCGGACACAACTCTTATCTCTAACAAACTCTAAGATACCATAAGTCTTTATGGCAGACTTTTGCCCTAAACATATCTCTAAAGAAATTACATAAAATATCCTAATTAATAGATACAATTGCCTTCTCAGGACTCTATCCATGTGCGGCAATCATCTTGAAGCATATCAACTCAATCCGATGTCGTACACCAAGTCGTATTGTCGGAATCGGCTGTATCGGCTTACCCAGTCTAACTCGGACCCAGCCGATCCTAATTGTAGCCGATTTGGACTCCAACCGATTCTCACTCCGTTCTAGGATCGATTTCCGCCTTTGATTCCTCTTCGATCTAATCCTCTTTTCTGATGTAGATATTACCAAATTTGGTCGTTAACACCTGGTGGCCATGGCCATGGGCCTGGACCTCAATGCTCTGCCGCCATCCCTAGGGGGAATCGTCGCCTCCTCCAAGCTACCTCGCCGTCAAGCTGGAGTCGTGCGGAGGCTCGCGAGTTCGCCAGCGCCCTAAGCTTTGGGTCGATTCGCATCCGCCCGATCAAGCTTCGTCTCCGGTCTCCGCCTTCCTTCTCTAGCCACAGGTATAGAGAGAGAGAGAGCGAGAATGAGCATGCAGAGGGGATAGTTGGAAGGAAAGAGATGACATGTGGTCACAAATAATTTTTTTTATTATTTTTTTTCACCACGTGTGCTAGATCAAGTCAAAACCGCTCAAAATAGTGCTTGGGGGGGAGGGGCTATTTGTCCGGTATAAATAGGTTTTTTTTTTGAAAGGAATACTACCAGGCAATGGCCCATTAGTGTATTTTATAGAAGCCAACAAAGTATTTACAGGGAAAAAAGAAAAATTACAAAAGGCTACAACCCCCTATAGAAACTATAAAGTTTGTAACTAATCAGAAACCAATTGTCTAAGATCATCATTCATCCTACACATATGTAGAAGAATTTCATACTTAAAAGAATTCCACCATCTGTCAAAAGAAGGATCTATATTCTGGAAAATCATTCCATTCCTTTGCTTCCAAATGTGCCAACACGCAATGAAACAAATCTCCAAGAATCCTTTTTTCTGAAATCTCAATCTTGCTAGCACCAGCATCTGAAAGAATTCTAGAGAAGTGTTCCAAGATATTCCTAGCTTCTGCCAACATTTTCTACTAAAAGGGCATTGAAAGAACAGGTGAGACAAAGTTTCTCTGTGATGCAAAGGGCATAAGACACAAGTAATATCTGGTATTTGAGTTTAAGGAGGTAATTCAGTCAACCGCTATAGTTCAGGGGGTAATTCGTACTTTTTTTCTTTAAATTATGCCTCTTAGAAGAACTCAGCCCCAAAGGGGAAGACCTCCCTAGGGTATTATAATTAAGAAGAAGCATATGAAACCGGGGCCAAGAAAGGTCACGAAAGCCAATCCCCCCTATGATAAACCCTGAGCTCCACTCGAGACACTCACGGCTATGATTTGTCCGAACTTTCGGTGAGTTGAAGATAACTATGATTTGGAAGAAACGTTGACGACCCAACTATAACCGTACGAGATGTTGTTGTGTTGCGCCTTAGCGATCGATACACCTTTCAATGGGTTGTTGATCTAGCCGGTGTAGATCAACCTTATTCTTGCAAGCAAATCGAAGAAACATGCAAGAACAAGAACAAGATAAAAGGAATCTGAATTGTAAATAAGAATTAAATACAAATGATAAGTTGGGGTTCCGGAACGAGCAAACCAGCGATCTAACCGATCACGGGATTACACGGCAAAGTAGAAGCTAAACTTTAATCTAAACAAAACCCTATAAACTCTGAAGGGGTACCTAGCTATTTAAGAATGTGAGAGCACGACCTAGGGGTCCCTAGGGTCGTGCTCCACCTGGTTGTGGCACACCCCACATGGGCTCCACTTGGGCCGGGGTCCCAAACAAAGTTACAAGCCCAAAGGCCCATGACAGGTGGCGCAACACCTTGTTTCTCTATTTTGCCGACGAATTTGGAGATGAGATTGGATTCATTGGAAAGAAGATTCCAAGAGCTTTCCATCGACTCAAAACAGAGCTTGTATGCACATTTGCGGTCGTTTGAAGTCAACACTGTAGCAGGTGGCCGAATTGGATTTCAAAAATTGGTCAACTTAATCTTGATATGAGCGACGATTGTATCAATAGTAGCCATGGTCACATCACCCTACATAGGGAGCTTCCCCGTGTAGATATCTATAAGAATATTTCCAACAACATGCTATGATCTAGTGTCAAAATTAAAACAAGAAAAGTCTATCTTAGAGAACTATTTTGTAGAGACATGACCTTATTCACATTATCACTATTTTGGGTGCTAATGTGATGTTGTTTAGGTAATCTATCCTGGAATAACAAATTTGCAATTTTCGCAGGTCTACAGTGACTTGACTGTCGATTACTTCAAGATGTTCATGCTAAATGTTCCAGCAGCAGTTGTAGCTCTAACATTGTGAGAATCATATGACATGATGTCAGAGATTTTTTTTTCTGCGTTACACCATGTTTAATAAATTTTTTCTTGACCAGATTTATGGTCATTTTTCACTTTGATGAAGAATCATTATTGTTTTTAGCAGTTCTGTTTGTGTGTACTAAATACTTTGTTTATATCTAATCTACATTTCTTTTTCACAGATTCTTCTTCCTGGATGATTTGACAGGTTTTGAGATCACATATCTTCTTGAGGTTAGTTCTAACAAATCCAAGATAATATACCAATTGAGATCCATGCAGTACTTCTCACTGACATATGGGCCCGAGGGTCTGTGGCGCCCTCTCTCATAATATACCTTAATACTTCTTCCTTCCCATAATAAGTTCATTTTGCCTCCTATTTGTCCCAAAATAAGTCCACTTTTAAGCAATCATTGTATCGTAATTTGTGAAAGTAGGGTATAATTGCATTGAGATTTGATAAAGTGAGGGTATTATGTTCTTTTTGGTTTTGTGCTGGTATGTATGGGATGGGTATAATATATCTTTAGTTCTTTACATGTATAATGTATAAAATCCTGATGATGTTATATATACTAGAAAAGGTTTGCGCGCTACGCCGTGCAGGGAAAAAATTAAACAGAAAATATTACAGGACGATTAGGTGATTAATGCATACATGTACTCCGTAAGTGATCATTTACATTGATTAAAAAACAATACACTAATATATAGGACAAATAAAGTAGCTGCCTTTTTCTAGTGAGATCAAACTGGTGGCTACAGGAAATGTTCCATTTATAAGTTCATGTGCATTCTTCTCTCCTGCTAGTTCAATCCACAACAAAAGCACAGCAGTATGAATGGCGCTTTGGTCCTGCAAACATGAAATGGTTATGCTTATGTTGGACGATATAATGCACATAATAATTTCATTATAAAGCAGCACCGACTGAAGAGTGGGAGCATCAAACTAAATGGATTAAACATAAAAGAAGAATATATATATTGAAATATAGCGCAGTCTCCGGCTCTTCTCAGTCAAAATAAATAAGTAAATAAAAGAATATATAATATATAGAAATATGTAAGAGCAGCAGGAAAATGATTATCCATAGGCATCGCCATCGTTTGGAAAGCCTTTGTGTCATATTATTAAACTCCGAAAAGTACTCTAGAATGACATAAGACCAACACCCCGTGAGTTGTTTGTTTATAAACAAGTTGCCCGTTAAAAGAGTAAACTATGATTGAAACAAAAAAAGGGACAAAATCATGCTAGCTAGCTACTTACTGGGAAACCAAGATTTACGACCATTAAAATTAAACCACTATACATAGTACTGTTTAGCAACGATACATATGGATCAGCAAGTATGCTATGGGGGTAGTCACTGAGCACACATAAAACCCCACGTTTAAGGAAGAGAAATTGAATGTAACTCATAGGAGGACAATTCAGTTTTGGAAAATATGTCGTTTCGGCATGCGTTTCGGAATGGCCACTAATCTTCGCATATTAAATAACATTACTTAATATCATATTGCTGGGCTTGTGGAAAAATAAAACAAAGTCCAATCATCCAAAACCAAACTGTCACCATAACCAAACCAAATCTATATCTAAGGACTGTCAGCCTAGTAATCTCACATTAGCGCAAAAAAACTTGTTGTGTAACATAATTGACCTAACAATATATATAGGGAGCTCATCAACAAACAACATTGTGTGACACAACGACCTAAGAGACCAAGAAAATACACCTAGGTTTCTATCTAGCATATCCATCAAACAAAAGTTAAGTTGGGAGTGGCTTGTTTTTCACTTAATCTTCATGTCTGAATAATGCATAGCTTTAAGTAGAGACAACCATCATGAAGAAAATATCCATATGGATACCAAAAATGTACTACTAGTAGGAAGTAGTAGGTCATAACACAAGGAAGGGTGGCTTATGGCATAGCGATACCAAAAATGTACTACTAGTAGGAAGTAGTAGGTCATAACACAAGGAAGGGTGGCTTATGGCATAGCTGCATAGCATCTTAAAGCCCCTTTGATCAAAGCACACAAATAGGAAAAACCCAGGAATAAAAGTGATGTGCTTCTTTAATCCTACAGGAATAAAAAACATAGGAAAAGATAATAGGAGCCCTTTGATAGTGCCATAGGAAAAACAAAGGAAAATTTACAAAGAGGTTATACCACTTAGTATTTTTCCTATAAAAGTGAAGCATAGGAACATAATCCTGTAAGTCAAAGGGAAACATAGGAAGAAAAATCCGTTGGAATTTGAATCCTATAAAATTCTTTGCCACTCCTATGAATCAAAAGGTCCCTAACACCATAAGTAATGTTAACTGACAGATGCAATAAACATTTCCTTATGTAATCCATTATTGACATATTGTTTTCAAAAGCAGAGTGGGAGCAGTGACACTGTAAAATTACAGCGAACAGTTAACTGCATAATACATCACCTGCAGGAGAGAATGACGGCGCTGAATAATTGTAGCTTTTGTCATCACCTACACAAATATACCACTTCACTTTAATCAGAAGTAAAGAACATTCACAGCCCTCGCGGAAGCACCTATCCACCTACTAATGTGGGACTTTACTGTAAGAAAACATGATACAATGGTCGCTAACCAAAACTACTGCACCAAAATCGAAAGCAGTCATCCAAATTTTGTTGGTCTTATGTTGGCAACAAAGAGCCCCACCTTCGGTTTCTCTAGCTAGGTAGTGGCCTTAACTCTCTTATGCTGAATGTACATTAACTTATGCTTGGTGCAGTCTATTTTCCCTGCATGGAGAAGTAAAACGATAGAAATGAAATTGCTATGGATCTAGATGTGATACTGAAGAGGCAACCATCTTAAACATCAAAGGGGATAATAAAATATTATCTGGAACTTATGCTAAGCAGGTGTGAATGATGCTATGTAAATCCTAAATGCTAATGTAATATGCACTAAATACCTTGTTTCATCTCCAGGGACTATGTGTCCTGTAACTGAATCTGCATATAGCACTGAAAAGTAAGTAAGATTCAGAGGCCCCGCAAAAAAAGTAAGATTCAGAGGCAATGCAACGGCATGAACAAAAAAAGAAAACTGCAATAATAAGATAGTATTGGTCAGCAGCAACACATCCACATCACAGCAAGCATGAGGAAAAGCAAAGCAGTACAGTGCAGAGGAGGAAATACATATGGAGGGACGGAGGAGGCTTATTTCCTCGAGGCGACGTTGTTGTCCATGAAGCCTGGGATAACATCCAAATAGATTTAATCTATCAACTATTTAATTTAGGTGTCGGTCTGCAAGCAACGGTAGGATCAGTAATCTTTAAGTCCCCAAAACGAACAGATCAACAAATTGGAAATCGCTTAAATAGCTCGAGATGAGCACGCACCATTGTAGAAGGAATGCAGCCAACAAAAAATAGATGAGAGGAGAAAGAACTCTAAGCAAAATACCAAAATGCAATTAGGATAGCAATCTCGATGGAGAAAACCCTAAATACCCTAAATCCTTGGCATTCTCCATCAATTTCCCTTGGTCCCAGGTTGGGAGCCAATACGGCTGCCGCCGGCGTGAACACACACGGGTGAAGCGCCTCTACCATCGCCTTGCACCCGTGCGCATGCCCGGCGGCGATGGCCTGGTGAAGAGGGAGAGGCAACACGGGTGGTTGGGGAGGGGGGAGGGAGGTGGAGGTGCGAGCTGAAGGTGGAGAGTGCGCGGCGGTGGCTAACACTACCCGCCGCCATCGAGATTGGGCGCCATGAGACCGAGCGACTCGAGGGAGGCGAGCGAAATGGTGACGTGGGAAACTCTGCGCCCATCGTTCCAACGACTCGGTAAGGACGCGCAACGCGGAGGCACGGACGGATGGATGTTGCCCAAAGCATAGAATCAAACGGCTCTGATTAGGCGGACTGTATTGCAAATACCAAAACAATGAGGGGTTTTCTGCAAAATCTGATGGCGGATTTTATACATGTAAAGAACTAAATATACATTATAGTCCTATAATTTGTTCACTCGCTAGAATAGACTTTGAAAAGTCATAATTAGGTATAACCTTTATACCTCTATTTTACCGTAATCAATGAGCCAGGTGGCAATTAAAAATGACGATTTGGCTGCTCGGCTTGGTTTGCTGCATGGGCCTAAGTGCGCACTAAGACTGGGGCATTAAGGGGGGGGCAGTAATTCCAGCTAGGAAGTGAGAGTTAGGAGTGATATGATGGAGGGAGTGAGGGGTCAGAATTTGTAATTTGCATAGGAGACAAGAGGGGAGGGTGAGGGCAGGCTTGTTTTCTTTCCATAGAAGTAATGGGTGGGGAAATATCTTTAACTGTTCTTTGCCAACCTGCTAATGTCAGTTGAAAGTCTTCAATGATCTTGGCTTTATTCTTCTTGCATATTTTCCAACAAGCTATAAGAAATATGTTCACGAACCATCTTCCTTGTTCAATTAACGCCATTGTTTTAACTGTTGGACTTCCATTGATGATGTCATACCTGATATGTGCTTTCCATGTCATATACATGTATGGATTTTTCCAGAAAATAAATATTACAGCAGTGCCACGATAACCATCTAAAAGTAACCAGCAATGTTGTTTTTGAAATACTCAGCATGGTAGACTCCGGTAATTCTATATCATACATGTCACTTTTGGAACAAACTGTCTAATTCTACATCAGACCTTATAGTGGATCTGATGCCATAAAACAAACTTTGTTATTTACTGATTTTTTTAGATAATAAACATTGTTATTTACTGATTGCATTCATGAATGATGCAGTTGCCAGAGCCTTTCAGTTTCATCTTCACATGGTTTGCCGCACTGCCTCTAATATTTTGGGTAGCACAGGCAATTACGAGTGCCATAGTGAAGGACTTTTTAATTTTGAAGGTATTTTCATTGTCTTATCATACATCGTTGGCATGTTAAGTATGGTACAAAATGACAAATCTTTTGATAATTAGGGACCGTGCCTGAACTGTGGCAATGAAAATCTTTCCTTCTTTGGGACTATACTGTCTGTGCCTAGCGGTGGTGCAAGAAACAGTGTGAAATGTGCAAAGTATGGATTTGAAATCTACTACTCGGTTTCTGATGCATTCTATCTTATATTTTAACTAATGTGGTTACTTTGTATGTTTATCAGTTGTGGCAGTTCATTGGTATACGATTCTGCATCCCGATTGATTACACTCCCAGAAACAGCTGAGGCTTGATTGAAGATCACTTCAGTGAGTCATTACCCTAATGACCTGTCTATAAACTGCATATTTCTGGATACTTTTAAGCATTTGAACTGTTGATAATGTGAAGGCTGAAGATCATCCGGTAGTTTTTACAAATGTAAAATTTCTGGAGAAGAGTAACTGAACTGACAATTTAAAGAAGTTAAGTGGGGAAGCATCACGTGGAAATGGTACACTTTTTGCAAATTTCATTTCCACTCGGTCTAGACATTCCCAAGCTAGAGACGGACAAAATTTCTAGTCCAAATTCAAACTTAATTGGATAGATAAGAAAAATACATACTTACTGAACAATGAACTTGTCCTCTATTTTCTGAGTATTTGTTTTTTTGAAATCTAGCAAATGAAATTGATTTTCATCAAAAAAATTTGCTTGAATAGAATATGTCTACCCTGTAATTTCTTCAATTTTTTTATGTATACATAGAGAAAATAAAATTTGCAACACTTGTGCTAGTGTGTAGTTAGGAAACATACTGAATATGAACGTGGTAATTAATGACAGCTTGCTTGGTGGCATCTAAAAATAACAGAGTTGGAAAATACCAACATATATGTTATTGACAGGCCCCGCATGCCATTCTCACATGCGATGATATCTTGCAGCTTGTATCTTTTCGATGGCATTTTCCTTATTTCCTCTTAATAAGATGAAAAACTCCAATTTACATTAGCAGGACAGGAGCTGCACCAAAGCAATTCCTTGTATCTACCATGGAGAGCAAGATGAACTTTTCATCTTGTGACAATCGTGTAGTGAAGCATCTTTTTTTTATACTCCTTTGTCTGCCTCTTTAAATATTGTATATATTTGCATTTCTTAAGAGTTTAAGAAATAGCTATGACTATATATACTGTACAAATACTTTCGAAAGTTTATATTGTGCATGAACTAAACTGTCGTCATACCATGATGAATGTCTGACTGGCCCATGCTTATTGAGTAAATTATGTTAGCAGTACCTGAAGACGCAAGATATATGTAATAGTGCACAGACTGATGCACGAACTTGTGTACTGCGTGCGAATCAAGGCCAAATGACATACCAGGGCTTATTTTGCTGTTTTGGACACTGGCTGACACCACGTAATCAGGGTGGGTCTAGTCCGCGAACGTTCGCGAAACAGTCGATAACCTTTTTCCTTGTTCGTTATAATGATACGGTTAACTATGAAATGCTTCTTTTCCGTTATAATGACATGATTAACCATAATTTGCTCCTATCGAGCACTAGTATTTCGTTGTTTCGGTTCGATGTTGTGCTCCCTCATGAAGGCTGTCTGAGTTGGTTTCACTATACGATCAGCCACCGAATTGATTCTATTAGTGGCAACTTCAGTGGCATCTAAAAGTCTATCGGTCTGAATTGTTGTATTCGGTTAGCCTCTTTTACTTTGGGTATCAAGGTGATTATCCCAAAATTAAGGCTAAAAAATTGGGAACACTCCAGCATAAAATTCATTGAACATAAGCAACAAATCATGCTTGAGAACATCCCAAAATTTTTGCTAAAATTCAGCTGGAAAGCCATCTTAACCTGGCGCCTTATTTGTTTCCATCCCAAAAATCGCCTCTCTTACTTCCTCCTCGGAGAAAGGGCAATAATAAGATCATTTTCTGCCTCCGACACTTGGGGATGTTATCTAATCTGGAATCATCTAGGGAAAGGGAACTTACTTCTGGTGGTCCAAAAAACTTTTTATAGAATTTTGTGAAGTAATTTTTTAAAGCATCGTTCCCCTCAATCTTTTATTCATCCTGGTTTAGGCTAATAATTTGTTTCTTCCTATGTTTGTCATTAGCAATCAAGTGATAATATTTAGTATTATTATCACCAAGAAGAACACTGGTTGAGTTAGCCCTTTGATACCATTTAGTTTCTTCTTCTCCAAATAGGTGTGCCAACCGATCAAGGTTGAGCATGCGTATGTCTTTCCAGATCAGTTAGGACACGACTTTCTACGGTGATATCAAGAGTATCAATGGTGTGTTGCAGATTTCCTTTCTCTATTTGATAAAAGCCACTAGTGTCATTGCCCAGCCTTTTAGTTGGTACCATTAGGCACTCATCTTATTGTTCCATCTTTGGACAGCATTTCGCCCTTTCACCGGCTTATTCCATACCTCTACCACTCGATCATGGAAATCTTCCCGTAGGAACCAGCCAAGTTCGAGCCTGAACTGCTTAGTGTTCCCTGTAAAATCCGGTGCATCAGTGTCCAGAAGAAGTGATAAACCTTGAGCTGCACTAGACACTAACGGCTGTTGTTGGCCCGATCTTTCGGTGAGTTGATGATAACTACGATTTGGGAGAAACATTGATGACCTGACTACAACCGTACAAGACGTTGTGTTTTGTGCCTTAGCGATCGATACACCTCTCCGTGGGTTGTTGATCTTGCCGATGCAGATCAACCCTATTTCTGCAAGCAAATCGAAGAAACAAGAAAGAACAAGATAAAAGTAATCTAATATTGCAAATAGGAATTAAATACCCACGATAAGTTGGGGTTTCGAAGACAAGCATACGGAGGATCTAGCCAACACGCGCGCTGCAAGTAAGTAGCAATGGCTAAATTTTAATTTAAACAAAAGCCGAGAAATCCTGAAGGGGTACCTAGCTATTTATGGAGGTGGGAGGACGACCAAGGGTGCTCTAGGGTCGCGCTCCATCAGATTGGGGCACACCTAACATGGACGAAGTTACATGCCCATGGGCCCACTATTGGTGATTCAATACCTTGTTTTTTTTATTGCGGAAATTATGCATTGCAAGCATAGCTAGTCTTCTTTCATTGGGTAATATTGACAGTCGAAATTGGTCGATAACGACCATCAACAAACCCCCCAAGCTTGAACCTTTGCTCGTCCCGAGTAATGGATGAAAGGAAACAAAGACTTGGTTGTTGATTAATGTTGTATATTTAGAATGTACAAAATGCATAGTATGGGTACTCTTACCAGAATTAAGTCAGTCAGCACGGTGGCTTACTCATGCGCCTAATGAATGCGCATAGATGTAGCCTAGAGGAGGGGTGAATAGGATTGTCTGAAAACTTAAAAACAAATCGCAGCGGTAAAATTCAACAGGCCCGAAACCTCCTGGTGTAGAACACCGGAACTTCCGGTCTGCTCAGACAGCCTAGAACTTTCAGGTACACAGATGAAATTCAAATTTCACTTCCAGAAACTTAGCCAACTCTCACAAGATGAATCACAGATAAACAGAGAAGCAACAGGATCACAGATACAAGCACAGAAACATCACAGAACGGACAAGGAGGATTTTTCCCTGAAGTTCGGATTCTGCGATCCTACTCTCCGTTGAGGAGCTCCAAAGAGATGGGTCTCAATTAACCCCTTGCCTCACTTGTGCAAAAATCTCAGAGGAAATTCACAGCCTTCAACCCCAACACCTCTAGGTCATTTTCTAGAATTGGGTGATCACCAAGATTGTAACACCCTGAAAATTCGACGACAAAAATCTAAACTCTAAAAATACGGATTTTTCAAAAACTTTTTAAATTAATTGCATCATGCCGATCTTA